AAAAAAAAAAAAAAAAAAGCGCACCTCCCAGCCTCCCGCTGGCTGCACTGCCTCTTTGGTACCTCGCAGACTTCGACAGAGTCCTGGACGGGTGCCCATTGATGTCATGGAAACACTCAAATTACTGAGAATGATTCATGTCTATGCTGGTCTCTTATCCTCCCCCACACAAACAGGAGTAGATTTTTAACCCTGACAACTTGTAATTTGCAGTGCGTTTATTTTTGTATCTGGATAAATATTTTTTAACAAGCAAAATTAAGATTAAGCAGTCTGTATCTGATATGATAGTAAAGAATGCTGGGCCCATGTAACCAAGAGTACTTTGGGGAATCTATGCAGCATGAATTCATATTCTTCTCATCTTTCCCTCCTCCTTCTCTCCCTTCCTACCCGCTTGCTCTTTCCATTCTGCCTTCCCTCTCTTTATTTCTCTCCTTTCCTTTCACTTCTCTCTCCCATTTATTCTCATTCATATTCTTATATTCTTCTCCTCCCTCCCTCCCTTTCTCTCTCTCTCTTCCTCTCTTCCCCCTTCTCATCCTTACTATATGCACTAACATTCTAGCTTTAAAATAGTAAATGGAATAGCTCTAACTTAAATATATATCTAAATTGAGACAAATTCTGATAGAAAAATTCATCTCTCTGAGGTATATGTGCTGGATTCGAGTTGGGAAATAATGCCAGGTGGTGCAATTCTGCAGGGGATAGCTTCAGTCATCCCTTCCAGAGAAGGAAATAGATAGCCTTCCCTTCTTCAAACTGCATTTTACATTCAATTTTTAGAAATTACCCAAAACAGGGTCCTAGATGTTTAATTTCCTAGGAAGTCAGGGAATACTCTACAATATCTGTCTGTCTGTCTGTCTTTCTGTCTATCAAGTATCTACCTACCTACCTACCTACCTACCTACCTATCTATCATCTATCTATCTATCACCTATCTTTCTACCTTTTTGCCTGTCTCTTTACCTACCTCTCTACCTGCCTTTCTAGTTGTTAAATAAGTGAATATAGTGTCAAAGTTAATTACGGTGCAGTTGTATTGAAGCTTTTAGGATGCAAGAGCTTAATGAGAGTTGCATGTCATTTGATTGCTTATAAAGGTTGAGTCTTTTTGTTAGTGATATTTGTAAAGAGAAGTTAAAGGGTATCTATAGGTTATATTTGACTTACACAGAAGAGTAACAAATATATCTGTATGACCATTTGTACTGCCGAAAAGGTAAATGAACCTTTTCTTCAGTGTAAAATCCTCATACAATTAAAGTTATTCTCTTAGATCTCCCAAGACCGACAGTTTGTGACATGATATCCTGTTTCATTAGAATTGAAACTGATATGGGCATTGATTTTCTACTTTGCACTGAGCTCTATACCAGAAATGAGGTATGGGGATATTTTCTCAAGTTTGAGATTCATTGAAATCAGTAGAAAAGTTAATACTGGGGGACAGAGGGTTAATTTTAAGACTCGGGTATGGCTTTCTTTGAAAATCATCTTCCATTTTATATATATAGTGACTTAGATACAAGGTACACTTTTGAACAGATATAAGATTTATTAACGATGCATTCTGTGTGTGGTGTCAGGAAGGCATAAAATTACAACATTGTTATCGAACTAAAAGATAAAAGAATGACTACTTTTACTTTTAGCATTTTTGTTGCCTTGGGTTGAGAGGGGAAATTTTGGGAGTTGTAAACTTTAGACAGATACCTATTTATCCCCTCAAAATACTAGTTTTGAATTTTCCCATTGAACAAAGAATAGTGTAGTCCTAGGTGTAAAGTACAATGTTCCTTTAAACTCTAGTCCCTAAGAAAGTATACTATCCTTGAGTCTCAGGTGGGGTGGGGTTCATGTTCTGGATCCTGGGCCATGTCACTAGCCCCTTTTAATGTCCTGGTATGGATCAATTTTCTGTGATGACTCCTCCTATGTCACTAACTAAACTCAACTGCTTAGATCTCTTGTAATGTGGTTTCATTGTCTTCCTTGCTAATTATTAAAGCTAAACATACTTTTAAAAGAAACAAATGAGCAGCCTTAATTTTACCCTTTGATGTGATCACATAGCATCTGAGGCTGTATGCATCTCTGTAAAGCTGTCTACAGATAAAAAATTGTGTTGTTTGAATGGGAACAAGATCTTCACATTCTATTATCTCATGTCCTGCTGGACCTATGGGTAGAATATGAACTTGGGTTCAGAGTGGGCAATTTTTCAAAAATCCTCTTTCCCAAATGTAAATTTCATCATCCTGATCGTGATGTGATTTACTCCTGGGAAAGGGAGTTTAAAAACAAAAAGAGAGAGAAAGAGATAGAGTCCCAGAATTTTGAATAGTTTCTTTGCTGTATTCACCATCTGGAAAGCCTTGATTGATTAGCTTTGGCCTCACCATTAAGTGTCAATATAATCAATGGGAATTACTAGACTAGGGTCATTACATAGATAATTTGCCTGCTGTGTAAATAAAAATGAAATTGTTTAAATTTTGTGAGAGAGAAAGAAAGTGAAAATAAGGAACAAATTGTTTGTTAGAGAAAGTGGAGGCCATTGGAATGACAGTTTTTGGAAGTGTGGAGCAGTTTGGCTAAGAATAGGAATGAAGGATATTTTTTTCCAGTTTATCATAGCCAGAGTGAGGAAGTGTTATTCCTTCTCTTGCTTGCATACATTGCCAGTAGTGCCTACTTTACGTATGTAAACATCGGAGAAGAGAGGTAGATGTCTGTTACCTGGAAGAGATTTTTTTTAAAAGGAAAAACACAATTTATAGTTTTTTGTTTGTTTGTTTGTTTTTCTCTTGGCAGGTAAAACAGAAAGGGGCTCATACTCATCTTATGGGAGAGAATCAAACTTACAGGGTTGCCACCAGGTAAGTGAGAATCTCGCGTGGGGAAGGGGTGAGAGAATTAACCTGGTGGATCAGTTTGTTTTGTAAATTAGATCATACATTTTAGACCGTGAGACTAAGATGCCCTGAAAGTCTGCCGATGCCTCTTTCTTTTAAAAAGTAATGAAGTGACACAGAGCTTGGAAGTGATAAACACCTCATCTTTAGATCTTTGGCATATCAGAACTACATTCACTGGCTTGTTTTTATTTTTTAATCCATCAGCCGGTACCAGTGGCACTGTTTGCAAACCAGCGATGTCGGTTAAAGTGGTTCTCTCAAAAGAGTTTATTTGCAATTAAGAACTTAAGAATTTCTTACACTGGAAATACTTTGTGTAGCCATTTGTCAGACCTGGGTTCGGGTGGCTATTGCCCTAAATTATAGTTTTCATAGGGGCTGTATGATGTTGTGTGAAAACAGGGTTGTATTGAGGGATAAAAATGTCTGTGAAAATATGATTTGTTGTCCCTTTTTGTTTCTGAATTGTTTTTGGCTGGAAGTCAAGGCCAGCAGGCTAACAGCAAAGCCGTCTCAAGGGAAGCATGCGTGAGCTAGAAAAATAAGAGTACTTTAATTAAATAATAAAATGCCAGTGTAATACAAAGGTACAGCATGTGTGTGTGTGTGTGTGTCTCTGTGCACTCTCCATTTGCATACTTTTAAGTCTCCAGAGAAAGCCCAGTTCTAAAAATACTATCAAGAGCCAAAAGTATAAGCTTTGTTTCAAGACAATTGAGATTTTATCGATGCTTTTTAAAAAAATTTCAGTATCGGTATTAATCATATGTTTAAAATCGTTTTCTTTCTTTTTTTTTTTTTTTTAAAGATTTAGGTTTTCTTTTTATAAATACATTGGCTTTTTACTTTGGAAAACTCTTGATAGAATTTAATAATCCTCTTTAATATTCAAAGCCTTCTAGTGTTTTATTATTCACCCAAACAGAATATATGTTCTTTCTGTGTTGGAAAGAGAATTCTTATTCTCTTGAACCCTCGCGCCCTCCAGTTTTCTTTAATGATATGGAAAAACAAAAATCCACTTAAAAATTTTAAAATGACTGTTTAATATATCCTGAAAAATGCAAGCAGTTTTAGTAATTAAATAGAGCCTGTGAAGGAGGTTTCCTTTTCGTATCAGTCATATATCACTAAAGGTGGAATTCTGCTGGGTTTTTTTTTTTTTTTTCCTGGATATATTTGCATTTTTAAAGTTTACTCCTTTGGCTCAGCCACCAATGCAGTCTTATTCAGCTTCTAAAAGATTTGTTGCAATGAGGTGCATGGTGCTTGGTTAAGAACTAACTCCTGCTGCACGAGCTGCAGACTCTAGTTCATGGCAGTTTGTTTGGAAAGAATTCTGCAGGAAAGACATTTACAGCCATTCCAGTGCAACGGAAACATCTTTGGAATGTGAGTGCAAATGTTCGGGGTAGATAGCTTGGGCGACAAGCCTCCCAGTGCCGAGTCTCTGGTGTAAAGCTCTCAATTCCTGCAGAAGAGCCTGTTCCTGTATATCTGTTTTCTGAGGGTCAAGGCAGAGGTCGTTAGAGTTTTGGGGAGAAGAAAGTTGACAACATCCTTCCTTTCTGCAGATGGTCATGGCAGAGGTCTCTGTTTTGCTGGGCCTCTTTTTCTGGTCAATGAGAGAATAGGCTTCCTCGCCCCTGTATCCTTTCTTACTAATAGGAATTGGCGTGATTCCTCACAGACACAAGATTTCCTCTGCTGAGTAAGCGCGAGGCCCCTTCACTTGTGAAAGCACCATCCAGACCGCGCGAGTCTGTCTGTGTCTGTGCGGGGGCACAGACCCTCCCTCAGTTTGTGGGAATACTTCCCTCGGGTGAAACTGAAGTTAATTTTTTTGGCACACACAAGGTGAGAAGTGGAAAGGGGCAGAGGGTGGAGTACAGAGGTGGATGGACTGGCATGTGATGGCTGAATTTCTGGGCCTGGAGAGCTTCCTTTTGAGACATTCATGTCCAGGAAAATTCTGTCGTATACAGGAGTATGATTGCATATGCTTTTCTTAAAAACTTCATAATGTAGATGTGGAGTGTGGATTCTTTCATTCTTATTTCTGCTTCATGGTTGTGAGCCTTGCAAGAACTGACTATCTCTGTGCTTAGCATGGTCTCAGCAGTATCCATAAACAGTGTGATCACTGGTGGATTAAATAAAAGAGCGAAATTTTGGAAATTCCTTGATTGAGGAAGTAGGAGCTGGAGAAGAAAAGTGTGCATATTCTGCTTTCTGTGAAATTTGAGAATAGAACAGACCATAGCGTGTTTTCCAGTGAATGGGTTTCTCTGGCCGAATTGTTTTTTTTTTTTGAATCCCTGTCTCCAATATCAGCTATGCAAACCAAAAAGAAAGGCAGAGTCTTGGTGTCTTGGGCTTCAAGTCTAAGTAGCAGATCACAGCTGAAATGATTCCTCTCTGTTTGGCAAGGTGAGTGACTTGCACGGAGGGGAAGCTTTTGTTTTCTCCATCGTGGGGCATGGGGTGGACAACCTTTAGATGACAATGCCCTAAGGGGCTCCACGAGCCGCTTTATCGTATAATAACAGTGTATCCTGTGGACTGAGGATGAGCACTTAGGATGAGCACTCTTACGTGTGAACTTGCTTATTTCAGTCCCAATAATAGCCTTTTGTTTAGTGTAGAGAAATAGTGGTGGTAAGCAACAGGTAGCTTTCAAAACACTGTCCTGACAAACATATGTATTTTGTTTCAAAAATGTATCAGGTTCAAAAATTTATATATGTATATTATGTTTCTCTTGAGGATTTAACACTAATAGTGATAGACATGTGGATATTTTTAAAAAGTGAATATTTTAGCCGAAAATCAAAAACCGGCACGTCCTTTATTATCAATTAAATTATTTTCATTAAAAATAGTAATGTGATAATATGAATTTATTAATGCACTTCTACATAAAATTATTGGAAATTATCGTGGTGACTTTTTCAGACTTTTGAAATTGTATAGAAAATTAACCAAAAGACAAACCAAAGCAGCCAAACGGACTTTTTTTAGTTCTCACTAAATATGGCAAAACTAATTTAAATCAAATTGGGGTACGGAAATCACACCCAGGCTTAAAATGTTCATGCCAAATTGCAACTTCCTACTACTTTTACTGGCAGAGAAAATAAAATTTATAATGGAAAGTCTGACAGAAATAAAAATGAGCGGAAATAAAGTTTTTCTCAAGATAGTCCAACCTTAATATGATAATCAATAGCTAATATAACGAATGAGCATGACTGCAGAGGACAGAAGGAAAAAAAAAATGCCGTTTGCTTTTGGCCTCTTCTGCTGATTTGAATAGGATGTTTGGCGATTGCAAACTTTTTTTTTTTTTTTATCTTGCTGAGATCTGTTTTTGAATGAGATGATGATGTCAACACAAATGATTGTTATTAAGGCAGAAGTTTTCCCCTTAAATGGAAATTCAGCATTGATTATCAGGAATTGTTTGTTTTTCCTTTCTGGGATGTAGCCCAAGTCTAAAGCAATGGTTTTATTATTAATAGCTCCTGAACAAGGTGTGTGTGTGTGTGTGTGTGTGTGTGTGTGTGTGTGAGTGATATGGAAAGCTGGGCCCTATCTGAGACCCGTTAAGTTCGATTCTTATGAGTTGGGCCTTAGCTTTTCCCCCAAGTGATTCTAATGTGCAGCTAGGTTTGGTGATTTCCTAGAATGTTCTATGGGAGTATACTGTATTTTAAAGATTTGTGTTCAAAATCTGGTATTATTATTGACCTTGAAAAAGCTTTCAGACTACTTGCCTTAATTTGATTATTCAAGACATGGAAATATATGGCATCTATACTTCATTTAACAGTGAAAATTAGTAATATGCTGAAAATCAGTAAAAATTAGTGAAAATTAGTAATATGCTGAAAATCAGTAAAATGTCTTGAAATCTTTATACAAAATTCCATAACTGAATGTCCCAGTCCATATCTTGTTTTCTCTAGTGAAGTCCAAGGCTTTAACCTCATCCACATTCTTTTTCTTTCTCAGCAAATAATCAAATAGGTCTGTGCTGATAAAGTTATTTGATGTTTAGATCGTAAAAACCAGCGGGATTTAAGAATTAGGCCTAATCTTGAATACCTTTGTTAAATTTCAGAAACTTTGAAGCTATTGAGGAAACAGACTTTATATATTATTTAGTTTCCTCATAAACCTAGTCATTTTTGATTCATTGAAATTAAATGTAGAATTGGTTCTGAAACATACTACACATATTTTTCTTTGAATTATTTTTATTTTTGATACAAAATGAATGATAAATTACTTAATTATAAAATTTTTGTCCCCTTTAACTTTTTCTTAACTAAAGTCATAATAAAAAAGGTATAAGCATAAAAGACATGAAATCCTTTTTCTTTGTTAGGTCTCGTGTAAGCAGAAATGCTTCTTGTTTTTAATTTGACATTAGGCTTAAGTGTTTATTCACAGTGTGCAGTAATTCAGTCCAGGTCCTGCGCATTCTTCCTGGGACCCTCTGCCGTCCATGGACTGCGCTATGTGCTGTGCTTATGCACTGCTGTAGCGCTCCGCTTCACTTCATAGTGCTTTTAAAATTTACCATTATTTATGTCTATCGAATGCTGGTTTCCAGCAGGATTCTGTAAATCCCTGGAAGGCAGGGGCCATGTCAGCTTTATCTTGAGCTGGGGGGACTCTGTGCCCAGCCTAGTGAGGACTGTAATGACCTAATGTTTACTTCTCCAGCATCACTTTTAGGAACCATCTCGAAAGTAAAGTCTCAACAATGTACGAGAACCACATAGTGAGCCTCATTTTCATGCCTACGGAAACCAGAAAATCATACCCTCTCAAAGAAAGTCCTTAACTTGCTATACGGACCCTAGAGTGACCCAGAGACCCTATCATGGAGAATCCCTTGTCACTCACTTTCTAGGAGCTGAGCACTAGCCTGGTGGCCTCACTGTTCTAGGCCT